AAAAAATGATAAAAACCAGTGCTAGTAATAATTCGTGTCTGCGCGTAGGTGTGTGTGGCTGTATGTGAAAGTTTAGAGATGGCAAACTGTTGCAAACAAACAAACCGGTTAATTAAAACTCTGAGCAGAGCGAATAGCACTCACTCTCTTTCACTTTGAGAATGAAAGAAAGAGAGATAGTAGAATACAATATAGCGTTAGAAAGAGGAAACGAAAGGTCCTGGGAAATAGTCATGTGCGCGCGTGTTACTGGTGACTGTGGTGCGCCTTCCTATTTAGGTGCTCGCAAAAATATCGTCGGCATCAGCATAGCCTGCGGAGGACGAGCATTTTCTAGTGTGTTACGTGGGAGCGGATATGCATATGCATTTTCTGTGGCGTGACGTAAAGGATGCAATTTTTCGACGCCACCAATTCCTCCTCTTCATTCCTCTTTCAAACCTTCCCTCCCTCTCTCTATCTATCTATCTATCTCTTTCTCTTTATCACGAGAGAACTGAAATTATTCACCCGTTGTTTTTGGCAAAGTTGTGAGGAAAACGTTCGATCGTCCAATGAATTTGATAAATCGAGACCGAATTTTGACGAGACAATTCTTTACTGATAACAAAAATAAAAATCAAATGTTTTTTTATATGAATGATAAGTTGTTGGTAATATTTAAAATGATTTATTAATGTATAAATGTTTAATGTATGTTTTACGTGACGTTAAGGATCGAATTTTTTCAACCACACCAATTCTTCTTCATCATTCTTTTCTCGAACCATTTTTTATCAATTTCTTTCTCTTTATCATGAGAGAACTGAAATTATTCATTCGTTATTTTTGACAAAGTCAAATAAAATATAATTTATTTTATAAAAAAAAGAAATTAAATAATTTATACCACACTTGTTACAAATTAATCAAAGATTATTATGATAAAATTTAATCTATGCCAATACTACTTCTGTTCACCATTGTATATTCAATCTCTATGTCTCTTTTACGATAATTAACCTATTTGAATCAATGTCGCATAAGTATACGTAACTATACTGATTGCTATCATCAAAGCGTATGCAAACGTTTAATTTTCGCGATAATTATAATCAAAAGCAATTAAAAATCTTAATTTTTTAAATCACCATAATCAAAGTATTTTACATTCATATACAATATACAAAAGTTATACAACAAATACTTTTTTCGATATAAAAAATTCTATTAAATACATCAAATGAAAACAAAAAGAAAATGTTAACAATATACACACACACACACACACACACAATTGATTTTTATTTTAAAAATTTAATAATTATAATACAAAAAAATACAAACCTTAAATATTTCTACTATATTGAAATGTTTAATTAATTTTTTAATAATTTTATTTAATATTAATTATTATTACAAAAATTATTTAATATTAATAGAATTATAAATATATATAATTCTAACTTTAAATATATAAAATTAAACTATATTCAATATGAACAAATTCATAATTTGTTATTCTCTATTATGATAGAAATGGGTTAAATAGTTCAGAATCATCTAAAGAAACATTAAATTTATCTACAAAATATGTATACAGAAATAGAAAGACTGTAGTTAGAAAAGGATGGAAATAAAGACGACAGGTGCAACCAAAGTCACGAATTTATTCCGGAACATACTGAACGAATTTCTTGAAGACTTGACAAAATTAGTAATATTTAGATACTTGCTATGAGAGTGAGTGTATAATCTTAGAAAATAATGTTGTTGAAAGTTTAAAGTATCTGTTTCTTTTTCTGTTTCTATTTTCGCTCTGTCTCTCTCATACTTATCTGTGGGTGTGGTGTGTGTGTGTGTGCGTGTGCGTGTGCGTGTATGTACTTGAGAACCATTAGTAGAAAATTTATGTCAAATGTGTTGAAACGGATCGATAAAACGATCAGCAAGCATTCTTTTAATCGACAAAATCCTTGACGATAGTTATGTTCACTATTCAATGAACTTGATCACCGCCATCTTTGCATTGACAAAAGCATGAATACGCTCAAGAAGCGTTTCTCGAGTTCTCTTTTCCCATTCATAAGTTTATGACGCGTGAAACGTTGAACAGAAATTTATAGGATATAGCTATATAGTTCAGCGTTTCTCAATCGTTTTTTAATAAAATTCAGTAGATTTGTTTGTAATGTTATTGTTGATCGAATGTTTAGTATATCGGAATATTTTACAAATTTAGTAGAAAAATAAATTGAAAATATATTTTATATTGTTTTTATATATATGTTCCTCGTAATAATATTGATGCTGGAATGTTTAGAATATCAAAGTTTTTACAAATGTCATAGAAAAATTCATTTAGCGTAGTTCTTTAATACTAATACTACTAATACTAAATATACAACTTTATATTTTGAATTATACTATAATATAACTAGTATATTTTGAATTATAATATTATGTATAATGATGATAGTAATAATCGTAATAATAATGATAATGATATTAATACATTATCATAATTTTATTTAATCATTTATCATCATTATATTACTATTACGAATAATAAATGTAATAGAGGGCTTTAGTAATAGTGATAGTATTAAAAGAGCAAAGGTGATTAAGTGGAATGTAATACAGATATTATTTTACAATCCATTAAAACAAAGATTCATATATACCTAATTATATCGTAACAAGTTAAATAATTGATCAAATTATCGATTTCTAACGAAAATAATATTACTTATTATTAAATACACAAATATTAGTTACTTAAATATATGTTTAAATAATAGATAATACTAAATATATATAATTAGATAATAATAAAACAATATCGTAAAATGTATTTTTATATTTTTAAAGAAATCAAAATCTACTTTTTTAAATTAATCTTTAATCAATGATATAATAAATTATTATAAAAAATAAAACAAAATATTTACACTTATATTTGTAAAATCAAATAAAATTTCAAAAAGAGAAGGGTAACATATTATATTTCAAATTTCAATTTGACGATTTGATTATTTGTTTTACGTTTAATAATTAAAAATATTGAATTTTTATTAAAGTATTCGAATAACGCTGATGTATTTTATATACTGCGTCATTATGATCTCAAACAATCGTAGATTTAGACAAACATAACGAATTTTGTTAGGAACAGATAGATAGAAATAGAAATATGTGAAGAGTAATGGAAGAAAAAAAAATATACTCAAATCATTAAATCATTCAGGAAAGGTTTGTGTTTCCAAACGATTCAAGGGAATTCTTCGTTTTTTTTGTAGAAAATTTATACGATTAAATGTTTAGAATCTATCTATATAAAAACCCATATGGATAATATCAATGTTTGTGGAAAAATTTTCCGTTTTTTCCCTCTTTTCCTTTCTATTTTTCTTCAACTTTCAAAACCAACAGACGGAGTACATACAGTGAATAAATAAATATTTTAATACGAATAAAAACTATCAACCAATTTTATAATCGTTTACTGAGTTTGAAAAAAACATTGATATCAGAAACTCATTTACATCTGGTACGTAATAGTATCGAAAAAAAAGTATAGTAAAAGTATAATAAGATCGATAATAAACAAAATTGATAAAAATCTTGTAATATTTTGAACGTTTCTAGAAAATTTTGTAATATTTTTTACTATATGAAAATTTTTTCATCCGAACATTCATGTATTTTAATTAATTCGTATATTGCAAAAATTTCTATTATATCCATTTATTAATATTAGATCTATTTATTAAATTAAATGTAATTCTATTATATATATATATGTATTTCTAAATTTACGTAAAAATTCGAAACTTATAATATTGCAATATTATTACTTTCCAACACTCAAATTGTATAAAATTATATTAAAATAATTATATAAAAGCTTCCAACACTAAAATTTTTATTTATAAAAATAAAACAATTTAATTAGTTTTCTAAGAATAAAAACGTCCAGTGAAACTAACCAAAGAATCTTCAGAAATAAAAACTGATGTTGAGCCATATTGGACATAAGAGTAAAAAGGTTCAAAGAGTAAGTGTTATTAATCTTCAACTTCAACTGCAATATTTATCTTGAACCATTATATTATACATCTTACATATCATCACGTTAGAAAATTCTCTCAAGTACTATTACCATTCTTTCAACTAACCTATCAAACTCAAACATTACCACGATCAATCTCGTAATCCTGTTAAGCAATTCGATCTAACGATATTTCTGATCAACGATCTAGTAATTCATATATCTCTAACTAGTGTACTCCCTTTAAACGTAAAACGAGATATAGATAACCATAAACATGATCTACGGATGATAGTAAGTGTATAAGTATTTCGGAGAAAGATATGGGAAGATGAAACCGAGAAAAAAACAAAGACAGAGAGTATGAGTGTGAGTAAAAGAGGAATGGAGAAGGTAGTAGCTTAGGGGTTAGGGAAGAGAGGGAGGAGAGGGATGGTTAAAAGAAGAGAAGAAACGAGTCGCTCACCCCGGTGTATTCGCTTTTGGAAACGCATGTGCGATGAAAAGCTCGCGAGGGGAGATGAAGGGTGAGTGAGGAGAAGGAGAAATCAGAGGAATCGTAGGAATTGTAGAAGGAGTATGAAGAAGAAGAGGTTGGAGAAAGAAAGAGAGAAATAATAGAATGACAGAGAAAGAAAGATAAACTGAAAGGAAGAGAGAGAGAGAGAGAGAGAGAGAGTGAACGAAACAGTAATAGAGAAAGAGAGAGACGGAGAATGCGACGTTCATCGTTTCTGGGGTAATTTTAGATCGGTAAGATAGCGGGTTTGGATCGAAGAGTAGGAGAAAGAGAAAGAGGAGGAGGGAGAGAAGAAGAAGAAGAAGAAGGAAAAGGAAGAGGTGGAGGATGATGAGGAGAAGAAAAGAAGAAGGGGTGAGGGTAGAGGTGTTTACGAAAGAGGAAGAGAGGGAAACAGGAGTGTTAGAGTGAGAAAGGAGGCCAACAGACAGAGTAAGCAAGAGAAGTGTGCTGCTGAAGGTGTGAGAGAAAGAGAGAGAGAGAAATAGTGAGGATAAAAGAGGAAGAGGGAGAAACCGGGAGCGAACGGTCCACTCTAACGCAGTTATGCCGACCAACTCCAAGCGGGTGCCGGTGAACTAATCGAACCCCGTTTCGAATTCCGCACACCCGTGCGTGGATTCGTAAAAGAACAACAAAATATTAGAAACGTGAGAAAGTACGTAAAGGAAAGTAAGAAAGGAAGGAAGAAAGTTAGAGAGGGTGCTTGTTGAATTGGGAAGAAAGAACTGATGGGGGAGTTTATACCCCGGGATAAAAAAAAGGGGAAAATTAAGAATAGGGAGAAAGGTTTGAAGGTGGGGAAAAAGAGGAGTTTGAAGGGGGGGGGGACAAAAAAATTATTAGGAGTGATCGTCGTGTGAAAATATTGAAAAAGTAAGAACCGAAACGGAGTGTGAGAGAGTAGGGGAGTGAGGTGGAGTGGGGGCAGAACGAACACGTGGAGAGGATTGAGACACAGTGTATAAATACAAAAAAAATAAAAACATATAAGAAGGAAGATAAAAACAAGAAGAAGAAGATACAAGTTGAAGAAATATCTTGTCTTCTATTCCAAGTTGGGTGATAAAAAAGGAGACATTTAGTGACATTCGCGAAAAAAGTGGGCCGGAAGGTGAAGTCTTTGGACAATTTCTTGCTCTTCTTTTCCTACGAAACCAGAGGTGGGTAACATAGCAAATAAAAGAGAAAAGAAAGTTAGAGGGTATAAAAAAGTAAGAAAGAAAGAAGAGTTAGTAAAAAAGAAAGAAAGAGAAAAGGGTGAGAAAGAAAAAGGAAGAGAGAAAGGGAGAAATTGTGTGGATGTGTGTATGCATGTTTGTGTATATGTAGAGAGAAAGAGAATGAAAGAATTAAAAAGAGAGGAAAATACAATGAGAGAGGATTAAAAAGAGAATTAAAGAGAGAGAGAGAGAGAAAGTGTGTGTGTGTGTGTGTGTGTATGTGCGCGCGTGTGTGAAGGGGAGTGAAGGAATAGAGGAATGAAAAAGAGTGATAGTTTGAGATAGTTAAAGAGAGAGAGAGAGAGAGAGAGAGAGAGAGAGATAGAATGAAATAGAGTGTAGTTTTGTGTGTTTATGTGTGTGTGTGGTGAAAAAGAGAGAGATGAAAAGACCATGTTCTTACTTGGATCGCGTGGACCGCGTAGCAAACGTTATTCGAGGCATCTCCATTCATTCTTTTCTCCGTCGTTATTTGTCGTACGTTCAGAAAGAAGCTAGGTAGCTAACCTCGCATTCTTAGATCGAAACGTGGTAGGAAGAAAATGCAGAGAAAGTGTGAGGTGGTATGAGGGGAAGGGAGAGGAAGTAGGAGGAACGAAAGAGCTAGGGAAGAGAACTGGGAATAAAAATAAAAATACAAAAATTTCGAGAAAAAAGGGGAGAGAATAAAATAGTAGAAGAGAGGATTTAAAAAAAGGGGGAACTGTAGAGGTTGAGAAAGAAGTGGGAGGAGTAGGGGTAGAAGGCGGAGAAAGTGGGTGGGGTAGCAGATAGATTCTTCTTCTACTTTTTTATTTTTATTTCATTCTTTTTTAGGGCGTAAAAATATTTTATTTCTTTCACACTTTTTAAATCCAGAGAACGATCGGAAGATTTCGAATCGATTTTTTCAAATGTGATTTCAATTATTTTGGTTCGTTCCTATCTGTTTCTTTTAACTTTTAATTTTGTTTTTCTTTTCTTTGATTGTATTTTAATTTTAATGTTACTTTTAATTTTGTATTTTTCTTTCTTTCACAGGGTTGTGAAAGAAAAGTGTACAATTTTCTCTTTCGAAGGGTCTATTTTTATCTGACGACCGCTTATGTCAGCTGTTCGATGATTGTCAGGTTTCTTGTGGTTAGCGGGACACACGCTTGACTGAAAGCTTTTTCTACGTCCTACTTTTTTTTCTGTGCTGTTCATATTTTCTTTTGTCATTTGAACTTCTTTTCGTTCCTAGTTATAAATAATATGCGTGTTTTTATATTATACATACATACGTACGTAGATGTTCGAATAATTGTTTTTTGCAGTATGACGAATAACTCGAGAACAAGAAAAAATTAATACAACAATTGTTATTTAAAAGTGAGAATGTAATTTTATTTACAACTATATTGTGAAATTATTTTTTAAAATTTTTACTCGTCTATTTTTATTCTTTCTTTTTCCTCAAAATAAACAAATATCATATCTCCAATAAATTACTTTAAAGTTTTTTCTTTTACTTCTTCAGAAACAAATATTTGAAAAAATAATAATAATTTGAAATATATGAATCAGAAATCTTTTTTTTTTTTTTTTGAAAAATTCATAATATTTTTTGGATTGAGTAAAAACAAAATTTGTAAAACTTTTCAGAGAGGATTTTCAATGGGATAGAAAATGATAACAAAGTTTTAGCAAAATCGAAAAAAGGGTCGGGTTAAAAAATGGACGATTTGACGTAGAATGTCCCATATGCTATCTATAAAACAGTAATTACACATTCAAATGAATTTTTACATAAAAATGTAACCTGCAATATATGCATATCTATTTTGTGTAAAATATACATGTGCAATCTAAAAAAAATGTAATTATTATACATACAGAACGATAAATAATCAAAATATACCTTTCAAAAGAAAATATCTGAAAAAAAAACCATGTAACATTCATATACGTGCAAATTTTTGTGAATTACGAGAATATGGATATCACATAAACAATCTACAAAATACTATAGTATTATAATTGCATTTCAAATTGTGTTAGTACATGAAAATCTGAACAAAATTAAACATTCATATACATGCAAATTCATATTTTGCTAAAATACACACGAAATATGTTACCTATAAAAAAAAGGAATTACATATAAAAAAATATACATAAAAATCCACAATTTACTCATTTCAGTTTCAAAAGTATGAAATTTTAATTAGTTGATTAAATGACTTAATTTTGTTCCTTTTTATTTTCTTCTCAAAAAAATATTATTTTTCTAATAGTAACTTTGATATTTCTTTATTTTAGTTTATTTTCTTTTTCATCAAAGAAATAAATAATTTATGAACTTTAAGATATAATAAACTTAAATAATAAATAATTAATATACAATAATTATACATAATACAAATTTATATATAATACTAATTAATATAAATAGTAAATAATTAAAAATATAATAAAAGTTATGCCATATTAAGCCACATTCTAAAACAAAATTATTTTGATTTATAAAAAAATAAATAAAGATAATTTAAAAATAAAAAGTAATTGGTTTTAACGCGATAAAAAATTTGATTTCAAAGTAAAACTAAAAGATTTTTATTAACATATATATATGAAGAAAAAAGGTGAGAAATATGAGAGATGAAATTTTGATTGAAAAGAAACGTCCAAAGTAAGTAAGTACACGATCCAACTATAAAGTTTTCATCACGATCTCTAATCGTTAGGGGAAAAAGTGATGGATAGGGGGGTCCAGGAGAGGGGGGAAGGATCCGTTAGGATAAGATTCCTAGGGATCTCGAAGAGTTTTTTTCACGAAAATATATTCTTTACTTACTTCTTTGAAATTGTCGATGTTTTTTACGATAACGATGAAGGAACGACGATAAATTTATTGCGAAAACTTTTTTTCTTTCAACTTTGCTTCTTCTTTTAAAAAAAAACAAAATGAACAAAGTATACGGTAATTCACAAAAACATTTGGATATCATAGTGGAAGCGAATTTGTAGTTTGATTTTTTGGTTAACAGAATAAATTATAATTATATAAAAATATTCTATAATAATTTATTAATTTAGTATATAATAATGTATATATAGTAAAAGAGAGAGAGAGAGTAATTAAAACATATAACAATAAATTATTTATTAATCTTGATAAATATTATATATATAATATTACTAATAATACTAATAATACTATATACAATATGTAATATATACCTATATATAATATTACTAATAATACTAATAATATATATACAATACGTAATATATATATATACTTGAGACGAATGATTTTCGAATCACGTGACACTTTATTTCAAACATTTTCTACACAGAAATAAATTGTATTTTGATGTTCGAATATTTTGGGAGGCGGAGGACAAAGGGTAGTTTTATTGTACATGAATTCGATTTTTGGGATTTTTGTATAGAAAATTTTGGAAATAAAGTGTCACGTGATTCGAAGATCATTCGTCTCGAGTTAACCCGCATTCAAGGGCAGGACGATAGCGATCGTGACCGAAGTTTAAATTGGAGGGTCCGCTACTTAAGATTCAGTTCTACAAACTCGAAAGTTCGGTAAAGCCTTACTAGAAGGGACTAGAAGAGAAAGAGAATGAGAAAGATAGAGGGAGAGAGAGAGAAAAGTTGAACTTTGTAGGTACTGCAAGCTTCTCGAGAAAGCGTGTATGACAAAGATAGAAACTTTCCGTTGCAATTAGAGGAGCATTTTCGATGGAATTCAATTAACCAACAGCATGTTCATATATATATATATATATATATATATATATGTATGCAGCAATAAATGTGGTAATTAATTTGGTATCTTAATATTAAATATTTACCTTGTACAAAAATCGGTCATATTATTTTTTTTGTAGAGAAATTCAACAGTTGTTACAAAAATGTACTAAAAAGAATAGAAACTATTTCGAATAGTAGCAGATGTACGATTACTTTATAAATAGATACTAAATTTGTTTTAAAAAGCTTCAAATTATTTGCAACGCTTAATATATTTTAACGTTAAAGTGTGAAATTTTTTAATTAATCCAATAACTAATTAAACCCTAAAGAGAACTATTCCAATTTGTTTAAGTATGAAATAAAACAGAATTAAATACTTTAATTAGGAAATAGTACACATACATTCACGAAACACAATTATTTATTTTAAGTATAAAACACTTAATTATTTCATGTAAGAGGGGGGGGGGAAGACACAGGTTTTTTTTATAAATTAATTGAATTATATACACTTAATATAATAGTTTAATTATTGATATGTATAATGCGTTTATGCAAGTATTTCTTTTGATATATTATAAACTAAGAATTTATATTTTGTAGAAAATATTGAAAAGAAATTTGAGTATTTGAAAAAAAAAGAAAACAAAAAGAATTTTTGTTGTGTAACTTTAATAAATGAAAAATAAGAAAAAAAAAGTATGACATTCAGCACAGTTAGGCACGAAGCAGACAAGATAGAAAAATCGTAAAGGGAACATCTGAGAGACACGGAACAAGGTGGCATTTGGATCTTTGCCAGTGACCCACCGCCTGCTGAGTCACACTCTCTTGAAAGAGAAAGAAAAAGGAAGAAAAAGAGAGAAAGGGTATAGAAAGAAAATGAGAGAGAAACAAAGAGAAAATGAGACATCGTCTAGGAAAAGTCAGTTGAAAAGTTATAAAAAAAAAACACACACACACACATATAAAATACTGTAACAATGTTACAGAAATCCTAAAAGTTAATAAAAAATAAAATAAACCTACTTTTTTGTTATAAAACTAAGTTTTAGTTGAAAAGTCAAATAATGGTAATAAAATACTCGAGCAATGTTATATAAATTTTAAAAGTTTAACAAAAACAAAGTAAACTTACTTTTCATATAAAATTATATATATATACGCGTAACTTTGGAACTCTTTCTTTTTTCATTCTAATTGTA